GGGGGGGGGATTGACCGGTGAATAAATTTGCAACTTGCGGCCGTTGTTTGTGTTGCCTTTCCTTTTTTTCTGCCTCATGACCATGCATTGCACACTGCCTGAAAACGTGCCTTTTCTATGGCCATTATCGGTGCCATCCATGCAGTGTTGGCTTAATATTTTCGTGCTATACTTTTCACTATCATCACGGATTTGTTTTGATTTTTTTTTTGTATCGAGCCCGATCGAGACTCTGTGCCGTGTCCGTGCAGCCTAACCGGTCAATGAAAAAGGCGTTATTTACCGCTTTTTACTTTTGCAATTTGTTATTTGTGTTGTGTGCCGCGTTGCCGGAAAACATCGCCGGTGTTTTCACTGCCATGTGCGACTCGTATGCTTATGTTCGGCTTATGCTGAGCCTAGGGTCGTTGCGCTTTATACAGGCGCCCCATCATCACTCGCGTTTCTCCTTCTCACCCACTCATTTTTTTCCCACCCGTGGTGGATCTCCATCACCGGATTTTTCTGTCAAAGGAATATTGTTGGGGATTCCCAGGAATACGTCGCGCTAAGAGAATCGGGGAAAAATAGCGAATTCAATTAAAAAGGAAATTCTGAGTGTATCCCTCTCTCTCTCTCTATCTATACCTCTGCTTATTTCATGCCCAGCTGATTAGATACATTATTTCTAGTATTATTTCCGTTCTTCTACGACTTCACGAAATAAGGTTATGATTTTCTGCTACTAACTAACTGCTGCTGTTCTTTTCTATTCTCTCTCTTTAGGGTTACCCATGCCCTAAACTTCGTTTCCACTTCGACTCACTCTTCTCTCTGCAGCGTCATCCCGAGCAGCACAGGAATATACCACCGTCCTTCCGACCCAATAAATTTAAAAATGGCCTTTTTTAAAGACTTTTTCGACGATCGATAAGTCCACTTCGTTTTCATCGCGGTTTATCACTTGGGCTTAAGGAGTGACTTGCACCCATATATTTTTTTTCGGTGGGAGAGACAAGGGCGTATAGCGTTCGATTTTTCATGCAGAAGAATTGGCCACGGTACACAATATACAGAAAAGAAAGGAATCGAAATGTAAAAAACCGAATAGAGTGGGAGTGTTATAGTCACAGATAATATATTTAAAAATCACAAAAAAATTTTGTGAAAAAATGGCGCCAAGTCGACGTGAATCTGATCGCCTCCAAGACAGAAACATGGGACAATTACTGAATAGTTGAAATAACACAGTAGGCGAACTGATTACGATATAATCTTTTTTTTAAAAGTTTATGCTGACAGCGTCAACTAGGACAATTTTCCGCAGTTTTAGTTCCGATTGGAAAATCGATTATTGTTAATAAAGGCTTTTGTCATTTTGGCTGTAAGACAGTGTTTTGCGGCTGGGACGCTTCGCTTCGCGTCCACGAAACGCTGACTACGGCTGTTATGACAAAAAATAGTGGGCGTCAAACGGCCAAAAAAAATTTGTCAACCAATATGATTGTTGCAAACCTCATCTTCGCTTGAAAAGTTTTTTTCGGCCTAATGACAAAATATATTGTTTTAAACCCCGTCCATAGGAAATTGACTCGGTAAAAAGTCAACTTGGCGCGCCGAGCTGTTCGATAATGAACATACTTCGTAGGAAGTGAATGATTGACAAAGCTAGAGTTCGCACGCTAATTGACAAAACGCCAAAAATATTGAGATTTGATTCAGCTTAATATATTACAATTGGATTTCGTATACCTGACGTGTACCTAACCTATTCACTAATGAACGTCAACTAGCATATCGGTATGAGGAGAGTGGGTACCTGTCAGTGTGATGGCGCGTTCATAAGCGACGCATGGTGTGGACGTACACTCACATTATGAGACAACGGCAACGAGTGGGGACGAAGATCATCAGTGAATAGTTTAAAATGAGATGTAGTGCTTATACATGATAAGATGTCCGTAACGACTGCAGTAATTACGTAATTATCAATCGATGCATTCAATCAATAATCCACTTACAAATTTATGACTTGCTAGGGAAATGCTAAAATATACTTGTAATTTTGTACTATGTTCCCGGCAACGTAATGATACTCAGTGAATTGAAGGGGAAAAATTAGGCGCGCCAAGTTGACTTTTTTCCGAATCAATTTCCTATGGACGGGGTTTGAAACAATATATTTTGTCATTAGGCCGAAAAAAACTTTTCTAGCGAAGATGAGGTTTGCAACAATCATATTGGTCGACAAATTTTTTTTGGCCGTTTGACGCCCCCCCTATTTTTTGTCATAACAGCCGTAGTCAGCGTTTCGTGTACGCGAAGCAAAGCGATGCAGCCGTAAAACATTGTCTTACAGCGGGAATGACAAAAGCCTTTATTAACAATAATCGATTTTCCAATCGGAACTAAAACTGCGGAAAATTGTCCTAGTTGACCCTGTCAGCATAAACTTGGCATTTTTTAATATTTTCATGGTTTTTTAAAAATAAGATTATATCATAATCAGTTGGCCTACTGTGTCATTTCAACTATTCAGTAATTGTTCCATGTTTCTGTCTTGGAGGCGATCAGATTCACGTCGACTTGGCGCCATTTTTTCACAAAATTTTTTTGTTATTTTTTAAATTTAATATTTACATGATTTTTTTTTAAATTGTGTGATTTCATCCATGCAGTTATTGTCCCATGCTTCTATCTTGCGTTGAAATTAGCGTCGGCTTGGCGCCATTTGATCACAACATTTTTTGATGATTTTTTTTTATGTTAATAATTACCAAACAAATGATGCAATCAAAAGTATTGGTACCTGTTTTAAGCCTCTCTGACATGTGTTAGTTAATCATAGTAATTTTCCTCAACGAAATATAAGTTAAATATTCATGTTTTAGTTTTTATTTAGTCATTCAAGTTGATTATTAAAAAATATTACATAAAAAATTTAAATTTGGAGGCAATATTTTAATTCAAATATTAACACTGGATTCCAATTGTTAAAGAGTAATTCACAAATATTAGGTTATTTAGGTAATTAATTAAAGATTAAAATTCTCGAAGATTGAAGCACTCAAAATTTTTAATTTAAAGGATTAAATGTAGGTGCAATATTGAAATTAAATATGAACAATTGATTCCAATTGTTAAAGGGTCATCTACAAACATTAAATTATCTGTTCAATTAATTTATGATTAAAATGTTCGAATTCTAAATATTGAAAAATTGACTGAACTAAAATTTTTAATTTGGTTGTTATATTCAAATCATTAAATTATTAACAATCGATTTCAAATGTTAAAGAGTAATTCACAAATATTAGGTTATTTAGGTAATTCATTGAAGATTAAAATGCTCGAAGATTGAAGCACTGAAAATTTTTTATTTAAAAGATTAAATTTAGGTGCAATATTGAAATTAAATATCAACAATTGATTCCAATTGTTAAAGGGTCATTTACAAACATTAAATTATCTGTTTAATTAATTTATGATTAAAATGTTCGAATTCTAAATATTGAAAAATTAACTGAACTAAAATTTTTAATTTGGTTATAATATTCAAATCATTAAATTATTAACAATCGATTCCAAATGTTAAAGGGTAAGTCACAAATATTAAATGACTTGACGCTGTTTGATTGGCTTACAAGCACGGGCTCCATCCTAGTTCATGCGCCACCGCCACGGACTCGTGCGGCTGAATTCCGTAAGCGCAGACAATTTCCGCTAACTTACTAGTTTTATTCCCTAGAACAGCCCACCCAAACAGCGCTAGGGAATAGTAACGCTCTCGAAATAACACTCTTGAAAAAGTGAATTCGTATCCTTGCTATGGAGTTATTTTTGTAATAATGTAATAAGTGAAAAAAGTAAAAATCTCATCAGAAAGATCAACCGCGATTTATATAATGTATCTAAGGATACTTTTGCAAAATAGCGTGCGTTTAAAGGGGAAAAAAGCAATTGAAGTCTTTTTAAGGGGTTAGGGGCGAGTTGTTCGCTGTAATATAATACACGACAGCTCTCTGCCTGTGACGTCGCCTCTGCCTGTGACGTCAACTTGGCAGATACGTTATCGCGTATCTTGATGGATACAGCGTTGGCGAGAAGAGGTAGGTCCGACGAAGATGGAAGAAGATTACACAGGGAAGTGGATGTTTCTACAACTGATATTGAGTTTATAAAAGTGGAGAAGTCTTTGACAATACAGAAAGGTGAAAAGGAAGAAACCAAAAAAGGATTGGAAGTATGTACTGATACGTTAATATCGGACAATAGACATGAAACAAGATTGAAATAGCGTAGGGTCAGGTATTCAACGTCTGTCCATGCTAATGCGAATCCGGAACAAAAGATTACATTATATTTTTATACTAAGTGGCGTGGCTGCTCTGGATGTGTAATAAATTCCCTAAACATGTCGAACTGATGAACTTTCTGCTGATGCTAATAATTGTTTTGGGAAATAATTATAAAAATCTTGCGATAAGATTGTAAGATTCCTTCATCTAACTTTGAAGATATGTACAAAATAATAAACGCTAATATTTAAAAGCGGGACAGATGTTCCAAAATATTTGATACCTCAATGTTTCTCTAATGCATGCCTTCACATACTTCAAATCCTGCAAATGTTTACAATTAATTTGCATATCCTCTCGTGGCAGAATTTGCATCAACTCATCGTACAAAATCGCTTGCTTCTCCGGATTACGTGCTAGTTGATACAATATTGAACCAACAGCAGTGGCAGTCTGAAAATGAGTACCAATGAAGAATTTCATTTAATTAGAACGCCTGCAAGAATTTGTTCAGATGTGTAGATACAGGATGTTTCTAAATGACTAATGAACCTAATGGTAGATTGTGATAAGTGGGACATTGGTTCTCTAAATAGTGCGAAGATGTAACAAAAAACGTTTGTTAACAATTTTTTCAACTATTAATGTTTAATGCTGCCTGAATATCACTTTACGTGCTCATTCAAATGTTGATTCAAGTATTGATGGTAGTATTAATTCTAGAAACGAGATAAGTATAAATCCGAGTGTCGGTTTAAATAGTGATTAAATGATCTATTCACGTATTTGTTTAAGTATCGATTACAGTAGCAATTCAAGTGTCACAACGTTCATTGGTACAAAAACTCACCACCACGAATCAAGTGACGCACCTCCCTTTACGTTATCAGCCTCTTCTCAATATCTAAGGTGCTCTTGTTACAATTGATCATCCGTACTCGATTCACCACATGGTGGAAAAATACACGATTCCCATTGGTCAACATGAAGTAATAATAGTATAAAAATTGTCAATATATATTTTTTCTACACTGGTCCCGTATTCAAGGGACGTCAATCTACCACTAGACGAGAGCTTTATTAGTAATTTAGAAAAACCCTGTATTGCAATAATTACCGTATCAACACCGACCAGAAATAGATCTAATGCGAGAACCGCTGCTAATTTATGCCCATTGTTAACGTCCATTTTGAGAACTCGTTCCAAGAGTGACAACTCAGATCCTTTGATACGATTTTTAGATTTCTCTAAAGCTATTTCTGTATATTTCGTTGCAAAACTGATGCATAATAATAAAAAAAAGATACAAATTATTTATGACCAGCTATTTCAATTATTTGACAAATTGTCTTATAACTATTTTTGTGTTTTGTATTAATATATAGGTCTCCATCCGCCGGTGCATCTGTGTATCTAACATAAATTGTAACAACGGGAACAATGGCTCACCGTTAGTTAATTTATGAATGGAGATAATTGATGGTAAAAAATGACAAGGCATTGAAAGGCCACAAACGAAAAACTCTGTAACTATATGAGTTAATGTTTGTATTTTCTATGAGAATTAACAGGGCTTCGATTTCACTATTATACATATGGGGCATTCCATGTCAACGGATGAGGTTTCAACCCTCAGGGTTTTTTATTTGTTTGTAAATTTGTCTATCCGTTCACCACGTAAGTATGACACGGTGTTTTTTTTTTCATTCTGATTTTTACTGAGGCGTTTCGTCCCATCGAATTTGAAGCATTTTTTTGAGAAGTCATTTACGGCTTTCGGTGGTGAGCTACACAAAAAATTCTAAAGATAATATTCAGTGAGCTACTCGGATAAGGTGAAGGAAAAACGAACACTCAATTGAATAAAACGATCGTTGATGTACTTTATTTAACTGAAATTGCGTGAACTTGTACATCCTATAAAAGTCTGATTTTAACGTGGTGAATTGTCTATGATTCGTTGAATAGCTAATTTCCAGAATAATTGTTGAATAACTCAAAAAGAATTAACGTGCAAATGATCCCAATGGTATACTCGGAAATAATCGTTGAACGTCTATGTTTTCACAATTAAAACACGTCTTTACTTGTTAAGATCTCGATCGCAACTCTAAATCTATCGGAAATTTTCTCGCTCAAGTATCTCCAAATCCGAATGAGTCCAAGGCCACCTGAACTCTGTCGATGGACTGTCGATATGAAGTTTAGTCAAACTCTCTTGATTTTAGAGAGATAAAAGAAAAAAGGTTTATTACATTAGATTTATTTCTCAAAGTATGGCTTCCAACACCTAATACAACAGGAGGTTTTGAATCCCAATTACTGATATATGCGATTTACAACAACTTGTCATATTTTTTAAATAAATTACGTACATATGAAAATATTTTTAAATAGATTGCATGAAGGAATCCATGAAGAATATTCAAAGAAAATGATTTTCCAACGGTCAGCAGGGCATGAAGAATATTCGAAGAAAATGATTTCCCAATGATCAACAGGGCCTCATACACGGAATCCAACGAGCAAAACGGAAGTTTCAAACGAATGCGACAACATCAGATGACTTCCACTGTGGTCATACCGACGTGTCCAGGGACACTAGCCGAAGAACGGAAGCATTAGTTAACAGTCTCGCCCTAGCATCGGAAACGACCACACAAAGGGGAGAACTACTCGTGATTTTCAGATATCTGATGCGGACTCAGTTATTACGTCTGACCGGCATTTATTCGCTACGCCGAGTATCGGAATTTAATATAATGACAATTACGCTTATCTTCGTAGTGACTAATCCCAGGGAATAGAGAAGCGAGGGCTAGAAACCAGAGAAAACAGGGACTTGTGTGCGATCGGTTGGCAAGGTGGAGAAGTACCTGTTACGGATTGTTTGCGAGTGGGAGCTTGAGAAAAGCACTCAGGATTAATTATGATTTGAATATCAACCCAGAATCAGATGAAATAAAAGTAAGTAAGATTTAGTCATACTAATCAAGCCTTGTTTTCTAAATTCCCAATCTCTAAATTCCTTCAGCAAACAATATCACAAGTATTGTAACTCTTTATGTAAAAGCTAGAGGTGGTTGTTACTGAAATGAATACTCACTCATCTAATTTCAATTTTTTTCATTTTATTGAATTTGTTCGGATCCTTTTTTCGGGGCTGGTGTGAAGCGCAATTTTCGGCGACTCAACAGATGCACAAGAAGTTCAGAGGTAAGGATCCTCACTCAATTAAAATTATTATTTTCCTACGCGGGGGAGAAATCGATTGGAGAGAAAATATAAATTCGGCCAATTTAGTTATCCAACAATCTGCATATACGTATACTCAATTTTTCGAGCACGTATGCAAAAGATAGACAATACGACAATATAATAGTGATACATGTTTTCAGTATTCCATTTCTATGTAACTCTGAGAAACATTCCCAATAGAAATTCATCGACTTCGAATAATTTTTAGTTTCAGAGCATCGCATATCTGAGTATATAACACAGCTTGATCACATTTTTTAATAATTTCAGGCCACTTTGGTTGATATGTCTGATCTCGTCTACCGATTATCCTGTTTGATGAATCCTCTCAAAAAATTGCACACTGCTAGGTTTGGTGGCCCCTCAAGTTGCTCCAGTATCGTTTCTGCCCAGGGTTGACTCTGAAGTTTGCAGCAATGTATCGTGGTCTTCTACTGTTGTAGCTTGCGTGCGGGCTGGAGTAGCTTGAATCCACGTCTTCAGCTGCTATGCCCCGCTGAGCCTCTGCATCCAGGAATTCATAGAGGTCCTGTGTCGACTGTCCACGGACGAGAAGTAATATACCCCCGTGGGCATCGCCGGAGACTTCAACCCCTGGGCGGTCGACTGGGGCTGGTAGGAGACGAACAGTAGAGGTCAGGCTGTAGTAGAGGCCATGGCATCCCTCGATGTAGTCCTCCTCAATAGTGGAGAAGAACCGACTTTTTCGAGAACGGAGACAAACTCCATCGTGGACCTAACCTTCGTGAGTGGCAATCTCGCAAGAGGGAACTCGCAAGTAGTTACTTGTGGGAAGTCAACGAAGCATATGCGGCGAGTGACCATTGTGCCCTACTCTGAGAGGTGGTAACCAAACCGAGCGATGGGCCAAGGCATGTGATGAGAACCGCCATTGGATGGAATGGGATTTCATTCAAACTTGACATTTTCTTGGTGGCGCCGACCTCGTTGGTTGGGCCGACGTTCAGCGCCATCGAGAAAGCAAAGGATATCATAGGGAGACTCATGAGAGCACGCGACGCTACCATGCCAAGGAAGCCAGCAGCTAGTCGGCGTCCACCAGTTAACTGGTGAAATCGCACTCCCGTGTAAATAATCCAACGCGGCCAGGCGAATAATGCAGCGAGCTCAAACGAAACCGCACTTTGTTACTCTGGAGAATGCCCACAAGGTGGCGCGACGCAAACATTCGATGGCAATGAAGCAGAGCCAAATCCAAGCATAGAAGAAGTTGGTAGCCCAGGTCGAGGATGACCCGTGGGGCAGGCCGTAGACGGTGGTTATGGCACGTGCCCTGTGCAACTGAAGAAAATTATTTCGATGCTCTTCCCCCGACAGGCTGAGGTTCGACGAACCAGTCGATAAAGGGAGAATCAGCACATTCCACTTGTCACAAAAGAGGAATGGATGGTGGCATGTGACAGGGTTCAGGACACCAAGGCCCCTGGCTTCGATGGAATCGCGAATACTTCACTGAAGGCAGCCATTCGGACGGGTCTATAATGAGTGCCTCAGAAAGGGCACGTTCCCGGCAATGTGGAAGCGGCAGAGGTTCGTGTTGCTGCTGAAAGGGAAAAAACCACGGAACGAACTTTCATATTATCGTCTCCTATGCATGCTTGACTCTGCAGGCCGAAAACCAGTCCGGATTCAGGAGAGGCAGATCGACTCTTGGGGCCATTCATCTGGTTGTGCAAATAGCTGAAGAAGTGATCTCAGGCACGAGATCTCACAGGGGCACCAAAAAGAACTGCCTGGTAGAGGCGCTGAATATCCGAAACGCCTTCAATTCCACTCAATGGGACAGCATCATGCAGTCCCTCCAAGGGTTTGGTGTTCGCGGATATCTACGAGAGATGGTAGAGGATTCTTCACGAACAGAATACTGATATATGACAGGGAGAGGGGTCCGGACGAATACAAGGTTACCGGAAGCGTATCCCAAGGCTCGGTGCTGAGACCGCTCCTATGGAATGTTATGCATGACGGCCTGCTCAACCTTGCCCTCCCACAGGGCGTTAAGCTGGCGTTTGCGGACGATGTCGTAATCATAGTCATAATTGGCGAACAATTGGAGGACATCCGTCTCGCCTTCGAGCGCGCATATGAGAAGGTCTACTGGGGGATGGGTACAGTCGGACTGCACTTGGTAGTGCACAAAACGAAGCCCGTGCTGATCTCGCGCCGGAGGACCCTAGAGACCATCAAGCTGCACGTCGGCGATTGTGATCTCACTTCTCAGCCATACATATGGCACCAGGAGGTGATGATTGACGCCTGGCTAAACTTGAAACAGCATGTGCCAGGGCCACCGGAGTCTGAGCAGCACTGTCGCGCCTCATGCTAAATATGGCAGGACCCAAACATAGGAAAAGAGCACTGCTGACAATAGTTATCAGATCGGATGCACAATAGGTGCAAGAGACCCGATGTCGGTTCGCGGCGGATTACAGGCTGAGTGCCCTGAGGGTCGCCTCTGCCTACCGCATCGTGTCTGATGAGGCGTTCGGTGTCATAGCAGGAATGATACCGTCACACATACTGCCGAAGAAGCGGCGGTTCCTCTACCGGCGGACGGAGCTGGCATTCTTGGTAAAGGAACCCGTGGCAGATCCTGCAAAGGAAGCAAGGCGCAGGAGTCTTGAAAGCTGGCAGACCCAGTGGGATAACTCACTGAAAGTGAGGGTGGAAGACACATCGTTTGATTCCAAAGTGAGGTAAACTTCTATCTCGTACAATTACTCTCAGAGCATGGGCGCTTCCGGGCTTTTCATAGGTACGGCCGAGATGACTCCCCGATTTACCCTGGGGTGGTTGAAGATGCAGAGCATGTCTTCTTTGCCTGCCCGCGGTTCGCAACGAGCCGTACGCGGTGGGAGACTGCAGTTGAAGGGCAGACCCCACCTGAAGACCTGATAATAGGTATGCGTTCGTCACCGAAAGCGTGGCAGGCAACCAGTGACTTCACGGCGTCGGTCACTACAATGCTGCGTGAAGAAGAGCGTTTGAGGAGAGACGCCG